CGAGTCCCTCAACCCCTGATAGGAATGAATTTAATCCTCCTCTTCATCATCACCGCCTCCACCACCACCTTGGGCCTTCTTGGCATTCTTTCTCTTGACGCGGCCAGGGCGGCCACCACCATATGGAGAGCGGAGAGAGAAGTCGATGTGCTTCTGGCTGTCCAGCCTCACCACAAAGGAGGGGATGTTCACAACCTGCTTACGCACCCTGCAGAACATCAGAAAAATAACTTAGCTAATGTGCAAAGGCTATTCAGGACTTCAGAACTGAGGCTACTGATCTCAAGGCCTCATTGACGAGGAATTCTTGACACCACTGACAATCTGACAGTTTTAAGTTTAATCACTGGCCAAGAGAAGTGTAGTTTCTTATTTTACCAAAGCACCCACATTACCTGGTAGACTCCGTTTCATGCAATAAAGCAATTTTTTTTTTTTGGACAAGCGAAGGTATACGGTTTAATCACCGAATTGACCTTGCAGAATATTTCATTCCCTCTCACCGGGAGGAGTTTAAACATGGTCAGCTAATGAAAGAGGAAGAAAACCTCAATACACATGTTCAGACAATCAGGATGTAACCATTATACACACACCTACATGTACAGGAAAATGTAGATTACATGGTTAAAAGTCCTGAACTATACACATTGTGTACTAAAGCATCTTACCGGATGTGCCTCTGACGGATGAGCACACGAGCATGGTGGATGCTCTTGGCGAGGCCAAGCTTGAAGACCTGAGTCTGCAGCCTCCTCTCCAAGAAGTCCTCCACTTTCAAGCCCAGAATGTAATCGAGCTTCATCTTACCCTCATCCAGCACACCAATGCGCACCAGACGCCTGAGCAAAGCATTACCTAGAAGTAGAAGTTAAACATAAGTGGAAGACTGATGGATGCAAACCAGACATTAAATTATTATAAGTAGTTATATGGCCTCATTGACGAGGAATTCTTGGCAACACTGAAAATCTGACATGTACTTTTACATCACTGGCCATAAAAGTTTGACAAATCAGCTAACTTACCTTCGAAGAGACGCTTAGGATCCTTCTCGTCCAGAGTGAGAAGCTCTCTGGCAGCTTTGCGGATTTTGGCTAGAGTGAACTTCACCCGCCAGACCTCCCTCTTATTCCTGAGGCCATACTCGCCTGAGAAGAAAAAGAAAACCAGATTTAAAAAAAAAGAAAACTTTGTCGATTAATTTCCTGCAATTAATTTTTTTCCTTACCAATGAGTTTCAACTCCTGGTCGAGACGAGACTTCTCGAAGGGACGTCTGGGGGTGACGTACGTCTTACTACAAACCCAGCTCCTGGCAACCGGCATGGCGACTTACTGACGCCTGTGAATAAAATAATTCATATAAAAATGAAGAGTGGTAATGCATTTATACTTTAACACTCATTCACGTATCTAGTACTGGTAATTACATTACACTTCATATCAATATTTTATCATGGGACCAAATTCCGATTCAGCAATTCAAATTCCAATTTAAAAACCTCAATAAACTCAACAGCTCAAGGTGGAGATTCTTTTTAATATGAAAAACAGCGCAATGCGTCGCTTCATGACCGACGTTAGGCCTGAACGCGCCTTGTGAAACACGTTGCGCCAAGCAGAACGTTACAACTAATCTCGCCACATAATATAACCTACTAACAAGGTACCGCGCATATAAAACTGCCCCTTTCTACATAATACATGAAATAGCGTCTGAGGGAAACCGTTAACCCTAGCGCCCAGCGGCAAATTTGACCAGAATCCCTGAGATCTATGCCTCCAACCTGTC